GCAGAGTGTAACCTCAGTGAAGGTGTTTAAGGTCAACTCGTCACGCAACAGGAATCCTCGCGCTGTGATGTTAACGTATGATAATTACTGGTTGCATGCAGTGTTTAACTCGCGCCTCTAGCAAAACTGTAGGGTGTAGTGTTTACAGTGTCATGTTAACATACTCTGTAGCATATAGCAAAAACAACAGCTATTACAGGCGTTCACACTGTAAATCACAGTTAATCGCTGGAACATTTTGAGTTTACTAGCGCATAATATACACAATAGATGCAAAATTACTACAGTTTTGCTTCAAAATGGCAGACGTTGATTTTGTTGAGGGGTTGGGGCGATAACTTATTAGAAAATAACTTATTAGAAATATTAAATACATTTATTTTAGAGTGACAAACAAAACAAAACTGAAAAGAATAGAGCAAAAGAGAAAGGAGTGAATATAATTTATAATATAACAGTTATAAATAATAATGGTGTCATCCTCATATTTTCACAAATACCCAATTGACATTAATTAATTAATTAATTTATTTAAACAAGTATAGTAATCTCCTTGTTGGTTTATAAAAATAAACCATAATGGTCTATTTTCAGAGATTGTCATGTCAGAGTGAAACTGTCATGTCAGACCGTTAAAATGTCAGCTTGTTCAGGTTTAACACTAACTAAAAACATAACCTTCCATTTTCTTTTGCCTTAAAGGGACAGTTTAACCCAAACATGACAATTTACTCACTATATACCCTCCCTTAAGTGGTTATAAACCTTTATGAGTTTTTTTTTTTCTGTTAGACACAAAAGAATATATATTTTTGAAAACCGGTAACCATTGACTTCCATTGCAGGAAAAACAAGTAACATGGAAGTCAATGGTTACCGGTTTTCAGCTTTCTTCAAAATATTGGCATCACTTTATTCTGATGGTCACATTTAATTGATTTTAAGTTACATTGCAACTACATGCCAACTATTTTTTTAGCATTTAAAGCAGGGGTCACCAATCCTGGTCCTGGAGGGCCAGTGTCCCTACAGGGTTTTGCTCCAACTTGCCTCAACACACCTGCCTGGATGTTTCAAGTATACCAAGTAAGAGCTCGATTAGCTTGTTCAGGTGTGTTTGATTAGGGTTGGAGCTAAAATCTGCAGGACACCGGCCCTCCAGGAACAAGTTTGGTGACCCCTGATTTAGAGTCTGTAAGGTTAGGACTAGGGTTAGTCCACATATGCTTGCAAAGTCTCTTATAGTCAGTGTAATGTCACTCAAAGTGACAATTTACTCAGTATTTACTCTACCCCAAGTGGTTATAAACCTTAATGGGTTTTTATTTCTTTTGTCCAACACAAAAGAAGATATCTTTGAAGAAAGCTGAAAACAGGTAACCCTTGACTTCTATAGTATTTGTTTTTCTTACTATGGAAGTCAATGGTTACCGGTTTTCAGCTTTCTTCAATATATTGGCATCACTTTATTCTGATGGTCACATTTAGTTGATTTTAAGTTACATTGCAACTACATGACAACTTTTTTTAGCATTTAGAGTCTGTAAGGTTGGGGTTAGGGCTAGGGTTAGTCCACATATACGTTCAAAATTTCTTATAGTCAGTGTAATGTCAACCAAACATGACAATTTACTCAGTATTTACTCTCCCTCAAGTGGTTATAAACCTTTATGGGTATTTATTTCTTTTGTCCAAAACAAAAGAAGATATCTTTGAAGAAATCTGAAAACCGGTAACCATTGACTTCTATAGTATTTGTTTTTCTTGGTTAGCTTTCTTCAAAATATTGGCATCACTTTATTCAGATGGTCCCTTTAACACATTCAGTTGAACTTAAGTTACATTGCAACTACATGACAACTATTTTTTTTTAGCATTTAGAGTCTTTAAGGTTAAGGTTAGGTCTATGGTAAGTCCATATATACTTGCAAAGTTTCTTATAGTCAGTTTAATGTCACCTATACAAGACAATTTACTCACTATTTACTCTTCCTTAAGTGGATATAAACCTTTATGGGTTTTTCTTTCATCAATTCCACACACAGAAGAAGGAAAGCTAAAAACCAATAACCATTGACCTTTATAATGTTTGTTTTGTCCTACATTTTGATGGACACTTTAACACATTTAGTTGATTTTTAAGGTACACACCATTTTAAGTTACATTGCAACTACATGCCAACTGTATCTACATTTGTGTGTGTGTGTGTTTATATATATATATATAAATCACACTGTGTGTGTCCAAAACAAAACTGGAGATGAGGCGTTGATTCAATTTCAGTCAAATACTATTAAAGTTAATTAAATTACTATCAACAGGGTCAAGTTGAAAAATTTGGACATTCTCAGAGGGTACGAATTCTTAATCATCTATCGGATGGCAAATCCACTAGAGGGCGCCGTTTATATTTTATGAGTCTGAAATATGCTACTTAGGGTGTGTTTTGTTGTACGTTTCAGATGACCAATCCTCTAGAGGGCGCTGTCTACATTTTGACATATGCGAAATATGTTATTTAGGGTACATTTTGAAGATTGCAGATGACATATCCACTACAGGGCAGTGTCATTTTTGCAAAAACAATATGTTACTAAATTAATCTTGATTGTTCATCAATAATATGCCCGCTGTAAATATCATTAGTGTGAAATGCAACAAAGGTTGCTGTCATAGCACTACCTTGAAGCTTTTTTTTTTTTATCCCTCAATGAGCCTGTGTTGCAGCATTGTTCAACCAGAGACACTGAGGAGGAAATCACAGCAGTTGTCTGCAGTTATAGTTACAGTAAAATGCGCTTCACGTTTCTAATGTTTTCTCACACCTCCAGTGGCACAAAATATAAATAAAAAGTGAAAGAAAAGAAAAAACAACAGCAGGCAAAGCATGCATTATTCATCTTATATGCTGAGAGACGAGGGTGAGGCCGACCACATGCTTCTCTGATATCACAGATCCTGACAGAATTTGACTTCACACAGAGATTAGGTAAGATTATCTAAGATTGTGAGTATAATAACTCTGAAAGATCTTTTGCATTTGTCATATTCATCAGTCTGAACTAGTCAGATAGCTGTCGGCAATGGCAAACGTCAAAACTAACGAGCAAAGAAATTAGCTTCATAAATGAAAAGATACAGCAAGTGTTTTTATTCTGAGACGTACATTGCATTTGCAACCAAATACTTTATTTATCTGCTGCCACATTGCTCATAAAAGTAATAAAAGCACTGTGACACAACTTTTAACATCCACGTCAAGAAATATGAGTAATTTATACAGTAGTATAATATAGTGTTTTTGAACCATACTACTGTATTATACTGTATAGTAATACAACAATTACGACAGTTTGTTAATGAATGCTGCAGCATACTGTAGTATCAGCTATAGTGAACTGTAATAAATACTTTATACTGTAAAATATGTACAGTTAAAAGCAGAACATATACAGTACCATGCATAAGTTTAGCATAACCATTTATTTAAAAATGCCTGATGGTAAATAATACTAAACGTTTACTCTTTTAGGTCCGTCAGGATTACCTAAACGATTTACATTTGCTTAATGCCAGAATAATAAGATATTTTTTATTAATTTCTAGACAGTCAAAAGTTTACACACATTTCCTTGGTATTTTTTTGCTTTGCTTTTAAGCTGTATAACTACAGTCAAATGTTTTGGGTCTCCTTCAACAAGCTTCTCACAATAGTTTGCAGGAATTTTGGCACATTCCTCCTGACAGAATTGCTGTAACTGATTCAGATTTGTAGGCTGTCTTGCTCGCACAAGCTTTTTCAGCTCTGCCCACACATTCTCTATAGGCTTTTATAGGATATCCCTCCTGCAGCAATTTTCCATTCATCTTCAATCATTTCGGCTAGAATAAAAGCAGTTTTGATTTTTTTAAACACCATTTTAAGGTCAAAATTATTAGCCCCTTTAAGCTATATATATTTTTTGTAAGTTTACAGAGCAAACCATCATTGTACAATAACTTGCCTAATTACCCTAACCTGCCTAGTTACCCTAATTAACCTAGTAAAGCCTTTAAATGTCCCTTTAAGCTGTATAGAAGTGTCTTGAAGAATATAGTATATTATTTACTGTCATCATGGCAAAGAGAAAATAATTACGTTTTTAGAGATGAGTTATTGAAACTGTTATAATCAGAAATGTGCTAAAAAATATCTTCTCTCTGTTAAACAGAAACTGGGGGAAAAAATAAACAGGGGGCTTAAGCAAGTGATTTCTATATCACGACGACACTTTAAGTTCTGCTTGGTGTACTTACACCGACATCTGCTGGTCTTGAAGGTGAAGTGCTGAATGAGACCTGATCTAATAAACATTCTTACCATCAAAGATCTATCTATCTATCTATCTATCTATCTATCTATCTATCTATCTATCTATCTATCTATCTATCTATCTATCTATATATATATATATATATATATATATATATATATACACCTGGTTTTGTGGTCCTTGGGTCACATACGTTTGTTATAGAGGTAAAGTTGGTTTTATATTGGCACATTGGTTCATTTAGCAGTCTCTATATTGTTTACCATGTTACTTTGAATATTGGATCAGAATTAGCACGCAAGTATGACTTCTAAACAACATTAACACTGTCTAATTGAGTGTGAACAATGCTGTACTTTGATAGTAATTTGCAGCTAATATGATTTCCCTATTTAGAATTTGCAAACAATACTTTTCTGACCTTGTAATATTAAGGAGAATGTCTCAATATCCCAATATTTATATGCAGGGTTATCCGCTCGTGCTCTGCTTATCAATGTGTGCAAAGCGGAAGAAATAGTGCCTTTCCTGCACAATTACTCGCCAAACACTTCATGTTCTTATTTCCACACTGGTGATAAACAATCATCTTCGTGATAAACAGTTATTACATTCACCACGTGTATACTTAAAAAAAAACATCTAATACTAATATCACTTAATGTATAAAAGTGAGTAACGGAGTTGTTTTGATATCCATCCGCAGCTTCTCAAACGCGCAAACTCCGCTCCTCATGAAACGTAAGCGCGTGTTAAACTTAAAAACAACCCGCTAACTGACCTGAGAAGCTCAAATAGGTATTTCCTCCAGGAAAAGTGTGCGTCTGGACTCTCGAAATGAAGGATAAAGTTAATTCGGATGCAGATTCTCGCCCTCAGAGTTGCTCGAACTGTTATGAAGAGGACACAAACAGTCAGTTCGTCGTAGTGAAGCTTGAAGATGAAGATCCAGAGATGGACATCAGTATTTTTGCTCCTGTCGAGTCCTCAGATTTTGAGGAAGAGGAAGATGAAGAAGAGCTTTCAGACTCATCCGAAGACTCCACTGTGGGAAGAAATATTCAGGAGCGAGGTTTGGCTGGTGTGTGTCCAATTTAAAGGCGTACATCTCTAGATTACCTTCATTACGATCAACACTAGCTCATGAAGTCATTCTAATAAAGGTTTACAAAAGCGAATAGAGCTTTATGATTACTTAACCTTTTCCCTCATTAAACAACTGATTGAGGTAAAGTTGATTTTATATTCGCACATTAGGATTTTGGCATGTAATAAAGAAGAATATACTAATACAGATTAATTATAATATTATGAGCAAAACATGTGACACTCTTAATATTGAATATTCAGTCTCAGTATTCATGTAAGAAAGACTTGAAGGCAACATTAGCACTATTGACTTGACCGTAAACAAGGTTGTACGTCGATAGTCAGGTTAATCATATGATTTCTCTATTTATAATTGGCAAACAATCCTTTTCTGACATTATATTAAGGTTAAAGTCTGAATGTGCTAATATAAAACCAACTTTACCCCAATAAACAAGCAGAGTTATGGTTGTTAGATGAGATGCAAACATTTCTCATCAGATTCACAGATGTAGTTGATCACATTAACTAATTAATTTGACAACCACAATATATTGCTTAAGCATTTAAAAATACACGATGTATTTTTTTGCGTTAAATGTTTTCCTCAAATTAAGAATGGTGCTCAAATTTTGTCACACAATCAAGAATTTATAGGGACAATTCACACAAAACTGAAAATATTGTCATCATACACAGAGGTAAAGTTGTTTTTATATTCGCACATTCGTTAATTTAGCAGTCTCTGTATTGTTTACCATGTTACTTTGAATATTCGATAGGAATTAGCATGCAAGTATGACTTGTAAACAACATTAACACTATCTAGTTCACTGTGAACAATGCTGTACTTTGGTAATCATTTGCTGCTAATATCATTTCCCTGTTTAGAAATGGTAAACATTGCTTTTCTGAAATTATATTATTAAGGAGAAAGTCTGAATATCCCAATATAAAACCAACTTTACCTCTATTCATCATACCCTTCACCTGTTTGAGTTTCTTTATTGAACACAATAGAAAAATGTTGGAAACCTGTAACCATTCATACATTTTCCTTCGGCCTAGTCCCTTAATTAATCCGGGGTTGCCAAAGCGGAATGAACTGCCAACTAATCCAGCATGTTTTACACAGCGGAAGCCCTTCCAGCTGCAACCCAGTACTGGGAAACACCCATATATTCTCAAATTCACACACACACTCATACACCACGGCCAATAGCGCATGTGTTTGATTGAGGTAAAATTGGTTTTATCTTTGCACATAGATAGCTTCCTCCATAGTTTGCATTTATTTCTTATTTTTCGTTGACGCCCCTCTTTAATTTCTCTTTCAGATGATCAGGATTCAGTGTCTCCTCCGAAACAGTCGCCCAGGAAGAGTTTGAAAGCGCAGAATAAGAGCCGACAGACGTTTTTGGCTGAGCAGAGACTAAAGCTGGAGACAAATCTGAACAGTGCTGCTGATAGGGTAGGGGTTTGTGCTTTTGGTTTTATATTCAGACTTTCAGCTTCTTAATATAATTTCAGAAAAGTATTATTTGCCAATTACAAAAGGAGAAATCATATTGTCAGCCGATGACTATCAGTGTAAGGCTTGAAGCTAACTATTCTGAACCAATAATCAGAAACAAACAGCAGTTGAAGGACGGCGTGTTTAAATACATTATTTATCTGACTCCATTAAAGATATTATCATCATTGATAAGGAGAGAATCTCAACACCTTAAAGCAGGCAAAGTTGTTTATCAAGTTACATGATTCATTCTACTGTCTATATTAAAACAAACTAATATACTGTACAAATAAACTTAGCTGTAACATATGCACTGCTGTGCATATGCTAGTGGATGAGGCTACGCAGTAGTGTTTGGGAGATGCAGAGTAAAAGCCATTGTCCCTGATCAACAGTTACCTTTCCTCCTTATACCCTGAACAAAGCATTGTTAAACATGAGTAAAAACCAAACCCCCAAAACCAGCTGGACATGAGAGAAGAGTTGAGGAGGTGGAGTGGGGGAGAAGTACATTAACATACTCTGCTCAGGCCATGACCCAACAATGGTGAATAGATAGTACATTGAAATACATCAATGTCTCTGATGATTTCATAAGTGCAACGCTGAAGTCATAAACTGTCAAATGACACCAAACATGACAGGGTTATATGAAGGAAGATCACGAGGAGATGAATTGCGTATGGTGAAATGCACCTGGTTACTGCAAGCAAATGGCAGAGATGTGTATTGGAGCTGTGAGGAACTCTGCCACGCCAGGAGGACCCATCCTGTGCTTGGAATGTCTATTGAGTTGCTAATGTTGATGAAAGTAGGCAGTCCCTTATATCATGTTTTCATTTTATTGTTAAGAAAGCGAAACAGCGTAGGCAGGGTGCTTCGAATGACGTTTCCATATCGAACTTGTGAAGTCTGAACTTATAAGAAGAGGATGCAGGACTGAACTTTGTATACTTCTTATTTAGGAAAAACCCCAATCAGGTAGGCGAATGTCTGCAGCCCTGCCTCGGTTTCCAGATGTCTCAATTTTTTTGCTATGATTACGGCTTCTGCCGACACTACCTCAGAGTCATCGAGCCCTGAAAATGGAGCATTTTGAAAATGCACGAGGCCTTTTTGGTTTTAAAATGCTGCTGCTCCATTTTTAGATGTTTCCCCCATCCACACTGACCCGGAGCAGCAGCATTTTAAAACCAAAACTGCCTCTTCAGCGTTTCCAAAACGCTCCGTTTTCAGGGCTCGACAAATCCAAGGTAGTGTGGAAGTAAGCCGTAACCTTAACGTATGTGCTTTAAAACTACAATACATTAGTGTAAACGGGGCCAAAGTAAAGTGTCTGGTGCGTATGGAGAGAAGAATCTTTCTACAGGTGGTTTGTCAAACCTACTCACCTGTGTGAGGATCTTATGAATAAGCATGTTAATGTGGATTCTTTTATATGAATGTGGATTCTCTTCTATGAATAAGGACATGGACGTCCCTTCAGAGGAGCACACATTTGGCCGAGCTGCGCCTCCGTCTGATTCAGCCAGAGGTCCTGTGGAGATTTCAGGGCTGGCCACCGCAATCAGTCCTTTAGCTGCGATGGAGCCTCCTGTATTTCCAAATGCTCCAGTACAGGTTTGTGCAGACTCAGGATAAGCCTTGAACGTCATGCTAGTCATAGTTGCATTAGTTTATATACACCTGCTCTGTGCGTTAATTATAAAGCTGACCTACACTGTTTAATTTGTTGCATGTTTCCTTAATGAACGTGCTGATATTTCCTAAACCAGAGCACATCTGCTGTCGGGGAGGATCAGCAGAATTTACTACTCGAGGTCCTGAACCACTGTCGGGTAAGTGCTTCTGTTTTCAGTTTACTCATTCAGAAATCGGATCACAGTCAGCCTCTTATTAACTCCGTTATCATCAGCTTAAAAACAATTATGATTTTCAATGCAACAAAATACAAATACAGTATCTATCTACACATCTGCCTATCTGTTGTGTGTGCTTTTTGTTTAATAGAGGCAAAAATAGCTGCTGTCCCTTTAAGATGACAACATTATCCTACATTATTAGTTTTTGATGGGTTTTAATGAAGGTTACAGCGCCTCTGTTTAAAGAAAAGAAAACTTGCATGTTCTGAAAGAGGTAAAGCCTCAGACAGGTCAGATAAAGTAACACAAAAGTAACTGAGTAACGCAACTAGTTACCCTTTTGGAAAGTAACTCAATATTTTAATGCATCCGCTTGGTTTCAAGATCGTTACACCTACATATTTGATTATACGAATCATAACCTGGTTAACCAAGAACAGACTCCTGGCCTGTGAATGATGTCAGCGGTTTGTTGACTTTTGCAGTTCCTGCATGCAGCGGTGCAGAGGCTCGAGCAGAAGATTGACAGACAGATGTCCAGTGAGGTATTATACACCGTTAATGATCCACAGCTCACAGACATTTGATTGAACTAGAACAATCAAGCTCACTTCACTGTGTAAAAACAAACAAACTTTATTTTACACACTGCATTATAACATCACCTCTATTAGGGCTGCATGATACTGGTTAAATATGCGTTATAGTTGTTGAGTGTTGTGATCACAATATTTCCTACCATGAAGCATTTCCCTATAATAATGCTGTTTTTAAATCATTTATTTTTTGATTGATATTAAAATAAACAGGTGAAAGAGATTTTTCAGATCTAATTAAGACAAGATAAAAAAACAGTGGAGGTGCAAACATCTAGACTTTAAAACATGAACATGAATGAGTGAAACCCTCAGCAGATATTCTCTTCTCTCGTCTCGACTGCACCCATTAGTGTTTATTTTCACCCTGTGTTCATCTGATTTGTCAGATTTAGATGAACATTAAATGCCAAAAAATAAGTTTGATACATCTGCCAAATGTATAGTGCATATATTGCTGTAATAATTATGCGATGTGTTGTGCAGCCCTAACCTTTTTTTTTAACTGCTTGCGTATTTTATCTGAGGCTCTTGTTAGTTTTCTTTCTCTACTTCTACAGTCATCCTCAGCAAGAGGAACAGCAAGGAGGAAGAAAGCTCCAAAGGTTTGTCCTTAAAGAATTGATCACTTTATCTTAAGGTGTCCATATGTTCCATGTTAATAGATGTTAATTGTTAATAGAGTAATTAAAGTAAATGATGCATAATTAATGCACTTGCAGTGGTGTAAATTAACCAATTGCAATTTAGATTTATACAGATTACTATACTTTAGTTTTCCTCACGAGTTGTACTTTACTAAGTAGTTTAAAAATGCATGCTTTTACTTGTAAACGGATTCAGTTCAATTCAGCTTTATTTGTATAGCGCTTTCACAATGTAGATTGTGTCAAAGCAGCTTCACATAAATGGTCATAGTAGATTGAACAGTGTAGTTCGGATTTTTAGTGTTTAAGTTCAGTTCAGTTTAGCTCAGTTCAGTGTGGTTTAAAGTCATTACTGAGAGTTCAAACACTGAAGAGCAAATCCATCGATGAGTAGCTTTTCAGATCCTGAACCATGCAAGCCAGTGGCGACAGCGGAGAGGGAAAAAAACTTTACCAATAGGAGAGTGAATAAAAAAAAAACCTTGAGAGAACCAGACTCAGTTCGGCACGACCATTTTAATTGCATTTTAACAGCTGGAAGCTGGCCTCAGCAAAGACTCATCTTGATTAAAACAAGTTTGTACTCTCAAAATCATTCCTCATAAATCCAGATTCCCCTCAGTGAGCCTATTTATTTACTTAAGTAAAAGTGTGTAAATTTATGTTTATTTATTCCGTTTCATATTAATTACAGTAATGATATTAATTAATATGCAAATGTTTATATGAATTATTTACAGAACAGTTTGTAAAGTAATAGTATCTGTCTTTTAGTAGATCTATTGTTTCACAAAACAAATTAGATTTGCATTGTAAACCTTTCACAAATATTATTTTTTATTTCACATTTGAAGGTTTTAATTATTAAACTCCCTAAATCATTCTGCATGAATCCATATTTTTAGCCCTTCGTTGAGTCAAAATATGTATATAAATGTAAATATATTTGCCAAAATTGCCAAGCATGTCTACAGATTCTGTCTAGCCCTGCTAATCATTAATACATTCATTCATTTATTCATTCATTTTCTAGTCGGCTTAGTCCCTTTATTAATCCGGGGTTGCCACAGCGGAATGAACCGCCAACTTATCCAGCTAGTTTTTACGCAGCGGATGCCCTTCCAGCCGCAACCCATCTCTGGGAAACACACACACTCATACACCACGGAAAATTTAGTCTACCCAATTCACCTGTACCGCATGTGTTTGGACTGTGGGGGAAACCGGAGCACCTGGAGGAACCCACGCGAACGCAGGGAGAACATGCAAACTCCACACAGAAACGCCAACTGAGCCAAGGATCACTACCTACTGCGCCAATGCTTCGCCCCTAATCAATAATACATTCTTTACTTTTAATTAATAAACCTTGTTGTTCCGTACCAGGCGTCTGCAACGGCTGAAGAAGAGCATCTGTCCTGGGATTTAGCGCAGCGTCTCGGCCCACCAGTGCACAGAAACTCCCGCTGGGATCCTCCCTGGAAACGGGCAGCAGACGGGGCGGAAAACAGCAGCGGCAGAACGGGACGCGGCAGAGGCCGGGGCAGAGGACGTGGCCGGCGGGGACGAGGCGGCACCAGAACACACCAACACACTCCTGAAAACACTGCACTCGTAACAAAACCAGATCAGATGAGCACTGATCACACACAGCCCTCTCCGATAATAAAGCAGGACTCGTGGGCTCACGCTGAGTTTGAGCAGCCGCAGAAGAGAAAGAAAAGCTCGGCTCATGTGCACAGAGAGAAAGAGGAATCTGATCCAAAGCATGAACAAGAGGACCGCAAAGGTAAGATAACAACAGACTTCATGCATAAAATATATTTGCATGAATGCAGCAGAGCAAACTATACTAGATGAAAATGTGTGTGTGTTTTATCCCAACGACATTTAATAATCAGCCCAGAATTAAAGGGCCATGAAGCCCCCTCGTTTCAGCAGGGTGTTTTCACACCTCTACTTTGGATAAAGTCAGAAAAGTGGGCGTGTCCAGCTCTGTTTAGGGGGGAGTGCCGGAGGAACTAAAGTGGCATGGTGTGGGAGTGTCTATTTGGGCGCTCTGAATTTCAGAGTCAAAACACACACCCACAGAGGACAATGTGACTGTGTTTACATGGACATCTGTAGTCGAATTATTTGCCAAATTATTAAATGGTGGACTTTAACTGCAGTTTGGCTCTTTCATTCAGGGAATTCATTCATGCCCCTCGCGACAAACAAGATATTTAATTCGAGGAGCTGCTGTAAGCGTGTATTTTTCATGCAATGATTGATATCGCACGGCGAATGAGAGAAAAAAACTCGGCATTTTTCCAGGAAACTTAGATGCACACGGCAGGTAGTGTCAGAAAGCCGCGTGTGTTATTTCGGTCACAAAATCCTACACAAGGTTATAGTTTGGTTTTGGTGCTAACATGTTTACACTCGGTGCAATAGTTAGTTTGATACGAACAAACTAAATAAACAAAGAGCACTGATCGCTCACTTACCAAATCTGTAGAGACAGGACAATCACCAGCAACTAGAGCCGCGTCTTTATTAAGAGGAGACTACAAGCGAATCCGGATCTCAGCGTTTGCAGATGAGAACAGCTCTCAGGTAAACAATAATCCTCCTTAGACACGTAAGTTATTGTCGCGTACACTGTTAATCCACACGTGACTCTGCGCTCTCACAGAGAGAAAATGAAAACAAAACTTCACTGCAGCAAACTATGAAAGCAACACTTCACGCTTGTTTTGCAACACAACGTGGCGTCTCTGTCGTCTAAACACTGTGACAGTAATGAATATTAATGAAGTTGCACAATAGAGCGCGCTGATTGGTTTGAACCAAGCCTAACTCATGCATTAATGCATCACACTGTAAGACGTAATAAGACACACTCTGGCACAGACGTCCAGTCTGCACGCTGGAATACACGCTATTATGTCATGACCGTGACGCAGCTTCAAAAATTAGTTTCAAACCGGAAGAACGAATTTGCTTGAAATAACGCAAAAGCAACCAATTTACACTTTTTAGTGAAATATAGGTGTCCTGATAGTGTTTTTAGCAGTGTGGTCCTCAATCCTCAATTGTCAGAGTCGGTATAATGATCCGAGCATCCCATCACTATAAAGAAACTGATTAATGGATATCTTCCTTTAGCTTTCCCCCCCTCAGTGATGATTGGGAGCTCTCTGCGTAAGGTGTGGATCCCGCAGTGTGTGTATAAGGAGGTGTTTAAGGAGACGGAGCCCCAGAAAGCAGTCGCTCCTGTGCTTTACTCTATTTTCCCCATCAGCACACTGTCCTGCAGCGCCGTCACCGGAAACCCTGAGAAAGGCATCCAGCAGCTCGACCCCAACAAGATTGAGGCCCTTCGAGGTGAATTTAGCCTCTTCCTGTTGAAGACTCAATTATTCGCCCTCCTACATATATATTTTTTCCAACACATTTCTAAGCATAGCAGTTTTAATCCCAGTGCACAAGTCTTTAAACAGTTAAAACTAATGTGAATGAAGCTTTTGTTCCAGCCTAGTTTAATTCAGAACGTTTAATTAAACTGAAGGGTCACAATTGATGATGATTTGATGTAGTCGTTTTTTAATTGTGTGTGTGTGTGTGTGTGTGTGTGTGTTTAGAGTTTCTGGCAGAGATGTTCCCCCAGTTTGACGTCAGTGTGCGCGGTGTGGCGTGGGCTCAGTGTCTTGGGGTGATCAATAGCATCACCAAAAACCTCAAGAAAACCGCTGGAAAAACATGACCTCTGCCAAACAAGGTGCGTTCTCCATGACCTCTGCTAGTGCTAGGATATATCCAACCTCAGAAGTTTAATTAGCAAGAAAACACCATCGGTTAAAAAGCATGATCCATTAAACCGTGTTACTGTGCTTCATTTCAGGTTGGCGACAGAAGAAATGAGGGTCTGTGTGTGCTTTTAATCCTGACAGCTTTAGTGACATGTGTTAACTCTGACCTCAGACTTGAAGCGCAGACAACTGTTTTTTTACGTTTGTTTATTGTTGTGTTCTGCTAATCGCAACACAATAAAAAAGAAAAGTTTGGCGTACATAATATATATTATTAACACTTCTTTTGTTCTTAATAAATCAATATATTATTTTGTTGTTTAAACATCCTAAATGCTGATGTCTACTGCCTAACCATTTTGCCTAATAAAGAATTCTTTGCTTTGATTTGTCTGTTGCAAATTACAAATATTCAAGTAATTAATTATAAACCAAATAATTCAACACATTCTGGACAAAAACAACAACAGTAACACTTGAGTTTAGGTCACAATCCACAGTATTAAACCATTAACTAACACTGCTAGCCTAATACACAACTAATTAGCAGCTAATTAATAGTTACTAAGACAGAAGTTGGGTTTAGGATTTGATTAGAATAAGATCATTTTTATTATTAGCATGAATTGTGAGCTAAACTAAAGTGTTCTTGAAGCCAGCAGAATGCCACGAACACTTCTGCAAATGAAGATTTCACCCCCAGGTCTGCAATGGATGTGCTGGCGTACTCGAGGCTAGCGCATACTCTTTTTTTTGCCCATCTTGCGTTCGTATCGAAACTTGCGTATGGCGCTGTTTATAGAGCCCACACAAACCTTCCAGTCACTTCCATCTTCCTGCAGCTTCATCCAGGGGAAACGCTCTGACAGGTGCTCTGAGGAGGATGAGAAGTGACAGAGCTTACAAAATGTTGAAAACAGAGCTAATGGCTAATCAATCGTACTGAAAAAAACACATTCTGCCAAAAGTGCCATTATTTTACAATAGGGATGCTCCGATCAGGATTTCTGCAGGCGATAGTGAGTACCGATCCCCTGTCATGGTGATTGGCTGATACCGATTCTGATGCTTCAAGCTTTGTAACTTTGCCATTGCATAAAGCATGTTTACTCTTAGTATGATAGTTCAGTGAAGATCTCTCCTTACCTAAAAGAATAAAGTAAGAATGCTGCATATAACCCTATACATTATTTATATGGTGGCTTGAGAAAGTATTAAACGTATATTAAATAAACATATTATTCTTCCGACATCGTCTTCTTCTGAGACTAAATTCTATACGCATCTCCTCCTAGACCGTTCAAACTACAACCACCAAACTAACACCAAACATTCAAACTGGTCTGACTCTGCTTGCTATGTCTTTTCCGACTGATCCGACTTACGGTTTTCCGAAAACTGACCTGGAAAATTCGGAGAAGTCCCATTGACTTAACATTGGACCAAACTTTATGACCTCATAACTTTCCGCCAGACTGTTATAGAGGCTGCGTTCGAAACCGCCTACTACTCAGTAGGTACTGCATTTGAATTTAAACGTACTAGTCGGCCGTTAAAAAAAATACGTTCTATACAGTATGAATGTGAAAAGTATGAATGGAATTCGGACGTACTACATCCACCATTTTGTCATAGTCACGTGACGTACCAGCGTCATTTACGTCGCTTTACTCCCATTCATGAATTCACTCGCGGGGCATCATGGGATAGCGCAGCATGCATGGGATGCGCACTCCAGAATCTCGCCGGAAGTAGTAAGTAGTAGCAACCGACTCCCGTGCGGAAGGTCGCCGGTTCGATACCAGCTCAGAGCAGGTTGGGTGGCGTAGAACCGGCAGGGTTACACTAGCAACATGCTAATTCATATTAGAAACATGCTGACATATATGTAGTTATCTATCTATGCCGACGGTTTCACACTTCTTAAAAACTACTTCAATTGTTTAAACTTTAAAGCTACTTCAAGCTTTCAGACGAGGCTTTCTCAAGACACCATAAAGTCTGTCTACAAACTTTACCGTTCTAGTTACTGCATATAATCTTAAACATGTCTCTTATAACCATTGAATGCTGACAGAAGCAACTTAATAGTAGATATTAAATAATACATATTATGCGGGAGACTGGTGGAGCTTCCGGGTGATCTCATACAGGTGGACACAAGATGGAGCTGATTGCTCCGCTCACGTCACAGCAGCTCAAAACACTGGATATACAGTGGCTGCAGGAGATTATCACTGGCCCGAGTCATGCCAATAAACAGAAGTCGCAACACATCTGTGTATATTTTAGCTGCTGTGACGCAAGCGCATCGATCGCTTATGCCCCCACGCATCATTTAGCTACTCGCACGTTGTAGTGCTGCTATCTGTATAACCCAGGTACGCACGTGCATCTTCCTCTGCTTGTAAACAAACACCTGCGATCGGTTCATGAGATCGGCCAGAAGAAATGTGATTATCGGCTGATCGATCAGAGCATCCCTACTTGACTAGCTAGCTGTGGCCAAAGGAACATCCCCAACAGCACCCAAGGGCTAATGGAGCATCTCACCTCGCAGTGCAGAGATCTTGTTGTGGTCGAGAGCGTGAATGCCGCGCCGCACCCCGCCGTAAACATTACTGTTCACCAGAACGTCCTCGGGGAAGATGAATCTGATGAGGTATCGAGCCACGAGTTCAGGACGTGTGCGCAGATGTGCTGCAGACAGGGCAAACTCTGGAACCTTCACTCCCCGATGAGGCGGACCCAGATACACTAATCGGAGGAGCAGAACACGACTGATAACAGTGTCTGTGAATGCCGTTTCAGGACAAATTGAAAAATAAACAGGGCTGGATAATAATTCATCTTTATTACTTGGCTGTCTGGAACTAATCTAACTATAATAATCTACTTTCTTTAAATATGATTATTTTGCTTCCCCCATTGGCAGACTATTTAGCTTGTTTTAATTTAAAACTCACTTAATTTTGACTCAATATTTCTGAAAAACACACTTGTCTTGGAAATGCTTCTTGATTTGAGAACTGTTCGATATTTGCACTACAAACAAGTCAAAAATCAAAGCGTTATTTGCAGTGCAGTGTGAACCCTGATATATCCACTATATTTGCAGTAGAAACAAGACAGAAACCCGTTTTTTTTTTTCACTGACCGCTGTCGGCGTCCCAGTCTGCAGGAGTCTCGTAGTCTTGGGTCACAGGACTGACCAGCAGTTTGGGTTGTTTGTGTTCGCTGTCGCTGTCAGACAACTCAACGTCTATCTCTGCGGTCGCTGCACACACAGAGGATACAGCCGCCGGTTCTGACCACACCGGAGAGCGCATGTCTGAGAGGGCCTGCTCTCTCATCTTCAGCTGAGAAACAAAACACTGACTTAGACTCTCAGGCAAAATACCGTTCATCAGAACAACACGTGAAGTCAATTCTCAATATTTTATTCCTTTAATTTCTGTTTAACAGAAGATTTCTTCAGCACATTTCTAATCATGATAGTGTTAATAACTCATCTCTAATAGCTGATTTATTTTCTCTTCATCATGATGACAGCACATAACATTAGACTAGATATTCTTCAAGACACTAGTGTTCAGCTTACAGTGACATGTAAAGGCTTCACTAGGGTAATTAGGGTAAAGTTAGGGTAATTAGGCAAGTCATTGTATAACAGTGGTTTGTTCTGGAGACAATCCAACACTAATATTGCTGAAGGGGTGAATAATATTGACCTTAAAATGGCTTTAAAACTATTAAAAACTGCTTTTATTCTAGCCCAAATAAAACTAATCAGACTTTCTCCAGAACAACAAATATTAGAGGAAATACTGTGAACAACTCCTCAATCTGTTCAACATCATTTGGGAAATATTTGGAGAAGTAATAATTCTAACTAATTCTGAGATTCATGAAAAGGTTGATTTTTATGGTTTTCTGTAACAGAAAATATTAATAAACTAGACCAACACACTCGTCACTCTTTAGTTCAGTGTTTGATTAGCACTGCCTGACTTATTTCTGTTCATTTATTAAGTTTTATTTGATAAGCCTGACTTATTTCTGTCTGTTCATTTGGCTGTTTATTTACAACATTTAAGACCTGCCAAAGATCAGACAATTATGTCTAAACATGGGGGAAAAAAAATCTTAGGGGGTCCAAACTTTTTCACATGACTGTATATTAAAAACAGTTTGGAGAAATCTGGCGTTATATTTTTACGTGCATTAACAAATCATCATTTTTGTGAATGCATCTAGAAGAGTTTCTGTCATTCTCACCCTGCGTGTCTTGTCCATGAACCGATAGTAGCGTGCGGTTGAGTTGATGACAGCAAGGCACACTTTCCAGTCTTTGCCACTCTCACGAAGGTCAAACTTTGGGTATCGCTTTACCGCCCACTCTGAGGAAATCATCAACAGTGTGTTAAAAGCAGTGACTCAGTCAAGTAAACTCCATTTATAGATAAAATTGAGTTCATAAAACATAAAACGCCCTTTTTACAACATGATGTCTCTAGAGTGTGTGTCGTGAAGTTTCAGCTCAAAATAGCACACAGATAATGTTCTCTAACTCTAAATGCAAATGAGATTGTGCTCTTTTAGAAGAGGGCGGAGCTACAGATGCCTGTGTGTCAGCATAGTGGATTCAAAAACAAGACTAATGTCCTATGCCAGAGGTGTACAAACTCAGTCCTGGATGTATACTTGTTAACCCTCCCGTTTTTCCCGGGATTCTCCCGTATTTTACAGTTCTATTCTGCTATCACCCCTTAAAGGTATTTTCCCATATTTTTTTATCTTTCTCTGAAGGGTGGGAATAAACATTAAAGAGTTGATCCTCCCTATACACAACCCATACCTCCGAACCACCAGGGGTCGCCCCTTGCTCTTAAATGTGAGTCTTCTGTGCTTTCATTTTATTTTAGCATGAAAACACTTTGAAATAAATATAAAAACGTCAGGATTCCCTTTCCTTTTCATTACAGGTGCCGTCACCCCTCACATGCAATCCTCAAAGCAGTCATATAGCAGTGCGTGACAGTCAGCTGACGCGCTCCATAGTGTTCAATAGACACCATTTGCCAAATGGATTCTGTACACAGGTTTTGGGTGCGTGTTTGAACAGACATATACACATAATTAACAATAATAACATCTAAAGATGTCGATCTTGGTAGGTTTTTTTTTCAAACACATCTAATTTTGTTTGTTAAACATAAAACGTTAGGAAAGTAGTCAAATGCTTTCATTATAAGAGATACAAGATGTGCAGCATCTGAAACTACGGATACTGGAAGCCTGTGCTGGCATTTCTCCTGCGGTGTTGCTATCAGTGTGTGAAGAGTGGGAGAAGAGGGTTGCATTGACAATCCAACTCAACAGGCAGC